CGCATGGGGCCTTGCAAAAGCGGGCGCCGTCAGGCACAGCGCAGCCATGATGGCCATGGTCAGGGAAAGGCGGGCCATGATGAATGTGGAGCGATCAGCCTGGGCATATCAGAGGGGCAATGAGGGAGAGGGGAGGGCCACGGGGGGGCACAGATTCAGAGGGGGCACAGGTTGAGACAGGTTTGACAGGCTCAGGCCTGGGCCCAGGCCGAGGCCTCCTGGGGCTGGTGGCTCGAGGCCTGATCGAGCCCCATGCTTATATGAACGGATGCTCTGGTTTCCTTGCTTTCTTTCAGAATACTTGCAACCCAGAATGGCCCACCTGATGACTTGATCGTGTGTCGGCGATAGGAGTTTGAATGACCCGGGCGGTAGGGATGCACCGCGGAATGATTAAATGGTAATCGTTAGCGTTATTTATGCATTCAACAGGCGTGTTGCCACAGATGCTGACCAAACTTCATGACACACCCAGTGACGGAGACGGGACCCTGTCATGTCACGGCCAAAGTCGCGGCCCAGGCCTGGCAGCTGGGGGTCGAAGAATTGGTGCGTACGCGAAAAATTATGTATACCCATTTCCAGGGGACTACTGACCCCTTGAATCGGCGCAATGTGGCGCCACAGACCCAAGGACTGTGCATGCGGCCGTGACTCAGGCGACTTAAGTTTGCAAGAACAATGACTCCCAAGCATCACGCAGCCCACGATGCTCAACCGCTTGGTACGTGTCATACATTGCACTAGATTCGGTCTGTTGCTTATATTGCACTTGCGGTGGAGCTAGCGGGTGCCGCCGGTTGCGATTTCCCGGCCGCCCAGTCCAGAGTGTATGTTCTGCGTCGCGGCCCCGTTGGGCCGCCAGCTGTGACATAATGGGGAGCTAGGGCATCGCGCGCGCAGCCACCAGGCCAGTTTTGGTGTCCTCGCGAGCAATCATAAAGCCGCACTTCAGAAAAGACCCGAATAATAAGCAGGTCTGTTGCTTGAGCCAGCAGGGCCTCCGACGTCAGCCCCTGGCGGACCGTGATCGGTTGGAGGCGACTGATGGCCGGACCCAGGACAGGAGCTCACCCGGACGCCGTCCTGACTCCCTGGCGAGAGGTCAGGCAATTCGCTGACCTGCGGCAGCACGGCGCGTGCAACGGACCAGCTGCGTTCAGCAGCCCCTTTGATGCACCAGTAGCTGCCGTTGGGGCGTCGCAGGGAAGCGGACGCTGTGGCGGACATCAAGAGCCACGGCAGATGCTGGGCAGCGGCCCCCACACAGAGTATCAGGGGCCAAAATTCCATTTGAAGGCTGCTAGCTGGGTGCCAGTCCCGGCGGTGATGCGGCAGCGTGTGCTCAGTGTGGAGAGCGTGAATCCCGGAGTGAACGCTGCGGCAGACAGCTGCCCTGTACGAGGATTATGCGATCGTAGGCTCGCCTCTGCCATGTGCACATGACAGGTCAGGCACCTGGGGAGCAGTTTGCCAGCGTCATATATAACATTTTAGGGCCTCACATGCAGCAGGAACAGTTCCATTTGCTTGGCAGCGCGTGCGGATCGGACCAGTTTTCAAGGGGGGTTGTGTGGGGGCAGGGCGCTTTTGGCTGCACTGGACTCCGCGGCTTTGCCGCATCGAGCATTCTCTTTCCATTTTGCAACTGTAAACAAACGCGGCCACGGCTTTTTTGGCTAGTCAGCTAGCAGCAGCCTCCCCTCCACTGGAGGACAGCTGCCCTGTTCTAGGATTACGCGATCGTACGTAGCCTCACCTCTGCCATGTGCACATGGCAGGTGAGGCACCTGGGGCGCAGTTCGCCAGCGTCAACTTTGACGTATAATATACATTTAGGCACCACAGGCAGCACCAACACCAGTAGTACCAGTAGTACCAGTAGTACCAGTAGTACCAGTAGTACCAGTAGTACCAGTAGTACCAGTAGTACCAGTGGTACCAGTAGTACCAGCAGCAGCAGGAGCAGCAGCAGCAGCAGGAGCAGGAGCAGCAGGAGCAGCAGGAGCAGCAGGAGCAGCAGGAGCAGCAGGAGCAGCAGGAGCAGCAGGAGCAGCAGCAGCATGACCACTGCCGCTGTTGCTGTAGTGCTAGCATCGTTTTCACGCCCAGCAGCACAGCTGTGGCTCTCAGCAGCATTGATATGAAGTGGATATGATGACACCCGCCATTATGCGCCCGCATGCAAATCTGGTCCTGTACGTCCCAATCTGACATTTTTTAGTATTCAGCTGGCAGAGAGTATGGCGCACCACGTGGCGTGTTGTCCACTGCGTTGAGCTGCGGCCTGCAAACAAACACCTGCGCAGGCACCAGCCCCGCGTCAACACACCCTGATCCTGTAACCAAGGATCGTTGTGGCCCTGATCGCCTTGCACGGGAACTATGGGTCAACCTGGGGATGCAGGCTGCCCACACCCCGGCCACCGGCAGGCCCAGGCAGGAATGTGGCGCGGCCGGCTACCCTGGTGGCTTACCATGCCGCCAGTCCAAGCAGTGTGGCGGCAGGATCGGATGGGCAGCGGCGCCTGGCTCCATGGCTGAGGCAGGCAGGATCTGCGAGATTCGAGCGTCATCGGGAAGTATTCGCGCGGTTGTTATGCATTTGAACGGCTTTGGACAGGAAAGGCAAAGCATCCAGCGACGCCAGCTGTCCCTGCGGCTGGAAGGCACGGGGATGCTGCGGACGAATGGCAGCAAACCTGGAACAGCAGCATCAAGGGCAATGAGGGCAGTTAGTATCACACCGTCTGATGCTGCTTCATCGTGGGTGTGCAGCCTTTGCTGAGTTATGGCTGAGGTGGCGTGCTATCAGCAATTGAATTGCTGAACGTCATGTGCTGATGTCACAAGTCGGACAAAACGGCTCCAACACGATCTAAGCGTCTTCAGGGCCGTGCTGCGTGCTTTAGTGAGGGTCTGTATGATAAGGGTCGTCGGGGGTACAGGCCAAATAGGGGCTGACATCAAGCCCGGATTCATGCATCAAGTGCCACCAGTGTGTTGGCGAGCAATGGCATTTGCAAACGCTCCATCGACAGGGTGCCACAGTCATGCACAGCGCTCGATGATATAGCATATAATACTGATTTGCGACCACGACCTATCAAGGATCAAGGCCGCGTCTTTGCAATCTTTTGTCGGAAGGGTGCGGACTTGCGAGCCATAGGGACGGCCGCACGTGCTCCCCTGACAGGGGTAGGGCGCGTTGATGATTTGGCAAGGCAGGATGTGGGCCATCGTGGTGGGCGCGCTCGTCGTCGCTGTTGGGGCGCGTGCTGAGGACATTTGCGAAGGCCCCGTGGTGAGCAGGGGCTTTATGAAGCTAGAAAGAAGCCGTCGGCATACCCTCGAGCGGTGCGCAGCCGCAAAAGAACCAGCGCGCCGCCACCTGGTCCGTCGAGCGGCGCGTCACGACAGCGGCGCCGCCTGCGGCGGTCCGCCCAGCCTCCCACATCCACACCCGGCGCGAGGTGTGCCTTGTGCCGACACCCCTTGCATTGACAACGCAGCGCTGCTGCTGACAAGCACGCCCAAGGTCCCCCGCCGCCGCTCCACGTACAGTAGCGCCCCCTCGTCCATGCGTCTTTTGCAGCATCCGACCCCGCGTCAACCAATTCGATTAATAACTTATAAACCCAGGTGGAGCTGCAGCTCGAGTCCCAGGACGGCAGCTTCGTGGAGACGGAGTACGGCGTCGTCGGCGCGTTTGGCACGATCCCGTCGCTCAACGGCTCCCGCCCCGTCCGCCTGGTGGCAGCAGAGCCGCTGGACGCCTGCGGGCCGCTGGAGCAGCAGCTGGAGGGCGCGGTGGCCGTCGCGCGGCGCGGGGCGTGCAGCTTTGTCGCGAAATACTTGGCGGTGCTGGCGGCCGGCGGCAGCGCGCTGCTGATGTTCAACGATGCGCCGGGTGTGTGGCTCTTGTTTGTGCGTTGGTGTGTTTGCGGGGGTGTGTGGGGGGGTGTGGGTGAGGGGGCGTGCATCAGATTGTTGGGCATGTGAGTGTTGGGACGCACACACATGCTCTCCAGCGCACGTGCACACGCGTGCTGCCGATGCGCGGCGTGCTGGTGCAAGGGCGCGGATAGGGGGGGTCCGCCTGCCAAGCAGTGCGCAGCTGGCCCGCTCAGGGGCCGTAGTCGCCGCCCCTGCAGCTGTGGGGTGGCAGGAGCCGCGGCAGCGGGCCTGCTAGCCAGCCGACGCCTTGTCCCCCATGTTGTGTGGAGCACACCCTCTGTCGCATCAGTTGAGGCTCCCGCCCCACCTCCAACCCCTCACCCATATGCTCTCGGTTGGGGCCGCCTTTTTCCATCCCCTCCAAGGCTGCATCACAATGGGGGGCTCCCTCGACAACGCCACAGAGCCCGGCGACCAGAAAGTCAACGGCACGATCCCTGCGATCTCCATCGACCACGATCTGGGCGCCAAGCTGGTCAACCTCACGCGCGCGGGGCCTGTCGTCCTAATCAGCGTCGCGCTGCTCGATCTGCCGCCATTAGACGCGGGCGCGGCGCTGCTGTGGCTCATGGCCGTGCTAACGGTCGCTGGCGGCGCGCTGTGGTCGGGCCGCGACCACGCAGAGGGTGTTAAGGCGGCGGCGGCTGCCGGCGGCGACGCGGATGCGGCGCGGCGTGCGCGGGAGCGCGGCGGCGCGGGCGGCCCGGCGGGCGGCGCGCTTGATGTGACGGCGGCCGGCGCGGTCGCGTTTGTCGGGGTCGCGTCCGCGATGCTGCTGCTCCTGTATTTCTTCATGGACAAGGCATTCTTTTATTTCATATTGGGGGTCTTCACGATCACCTCCGCGCAGGCGATGGGGGTGGCGCTCGCGGCCGCCGTCGCCGCCGCTGCGCCCGCGCTCGCGGCGCGCGACGCGCTCGTGCCCTTCATTGGCCCCGTCCCGCTGCCGGCCCTCATCGCGGCCCCGCCCTCGCTCGCGACGGCCGCGGTGTGGGCCGCGTTCCGCGGCGCCGCCTGGTCCTGGCCGCTGCTCGACGCGCTGGGCATCTGCCTCATGCTGCTCGTGCTGCGCACGCTGCGGCTCGGCAGCCTGCGCGTCGCGTGCGTGCTGCTGCCGCTCTGCTTCCTATACGACGTCTTCTTCGTATTCATCCAGCCCCTGCTGTTCGGCGGCGGCGAATCTGTGATGGTCGAGGTCGCGCGCGGCGCCGGCGCCGACGAGGTCATGCCGATGCTGCTGCGCGTCCCGCGGCTGCAGGGCCCGCCGATCGCGCGCGGCGGCTACAGCATGCTTGGGTTCGGTGACATCATTCTGCCCGGCCTGCTGGTCGCGCTGATGCGGCGCGTCGACATAGACCTGCGGCTGCCGTGGCCGCGGGGATACTTTTTGCCGGCGCTGGCGGGCTATGGGGTGGGGCTCACCCTAACATACGTGGCCCTCGTTTTCAGCTGGTTTGGGGACCAAGGGCAGGTGGGCAGGCGCAGGGGGGGGGGGCCGTGTGCGGTGGGGTGGGGGTGCAAAAGGGCTGCGGCGGCGGCTGGGGCGAAGCAGGGGGCCACGCGCGCGCACACCGCGGCGCGGCGCTGCCTGCTGGGGCGCTCTGGCTGGGCTTGCCTTGGGGCGGCGTGGTGGGGGGGCGCACACCTCCTGGGTGGAGCTGGCGCGGCGCGTGCTTTGCCCATGCTTCCTGACTGATGATTGACCCGGGTCTGGGCGCGGGCTTTTGCTTGGAGGGGTTTCCACCAACAGCTGGCCTCCCTCTGCCCTCGCTTATCTATTGCCCAGCCCGCGCTGCTCTACTTGGTGCCCTGCACACTGGGCACGGTGCTGGCGCTGACTGCGGCGCGGGGGGACCTACGGCGGCTCTGGGCTGAGGACAGCAGCAGCGGCGGCGGCGGCGGCTGGGCGCTGCTGTTGCAGGAGGAGCCGGAGCCCGGCCCGGCGCAGCAGCAGCAGCGCGGCGCGGGCACGGGCGCAGGGGCGGCGGCGTGGCGGGCGGGCGGCGGCGAGGGGTGGCCGGGCGGCGCGGGCGGTGGCGGCGGCGCGCGGCACAGTCCCACGGGGAGCAGCACGCGGCTGCTGAGCAGAGGAGGGTCGCAGCTGGGCGGCGCTGTATAATCAGGTTCCTAGTGTCCCTGCCATAGGTAAACCTGTATATATAGCATTCCTCTGGATCTTCCCAGACATTGCCCCATGATCCTGCCCTGCATGCCGCCCTGGATCGGTGTCTGCGCGCCGTTGCGGCCTTGAAGGATTCACACTTCGAACCATGGTCATGGGAATGCACATGCTTTCTGCGGTACGCAGTGGCCATTCGCCCAATATAACTTGTAATCAATGTTCAAATCCGCGCACGTAGGCGTGCTCGGGGGTGTTGCTCCGCCTTCTATCGGCTCGGTGGGTGAGCGGCTCCTTTTGACCTTTGAGTGTGACAGGCGTGCCCACGTCCAAACGAAAAGTTCAACCAGCAGGTGATTGGTGTATGCTGTATCGTGAGATTTATACATAATTTCCATTGTGCAACGTGTCCCGGGCTTTGTCACTTTGATGTTCGCTTGCAACAAGATCGACACACAGCCGACCCAAGTGATACTCACCCCTGGGAGGCGCATCCAGCGGCATTAAACTCGTGTTTCACTGATTTCAGAACCCCACTGGCCGAATAGTGGTGCAAGTGCGGCTCAGCAGGCGGAGCCAAAAGCACTCGCGCGCCATGCAGCCTCCACGGGCTCACATGGGGCTCGCAGTCGCCTTTATGGCAATAATGATAGCGTATTCAGCGGCCACAGGCGCATCAGATGCTGGCGGCGGCAGTGGCGCCACGGCGTTCGACTGCACCCAGAGCTGCTCATTTGAGGTCAACCCAGCCTGCGGCGCCGACGGAGAGTGGTACCACAACGCCTGCCTTGCATCTTGCAGCGGCGGCGTGGCTCTTGCCTCAGACGCCTTGCTCTGCCAAGGTGAGGAGCGCGCGGGGTGCATGCAAATGTATGACAATCGACCTGGCCCAGCCGGGCCGGCATGGCGAGCGCAGCCACGTAATCAGCCCCCTGGGCCCCACCAACGCCCTGGCCCGCTCCGCCGGCTCAAACACGCCTTCCTGCCCCCTCCCTGCCCCACCCCGCCC